AATAAAATAAAATAAAATAAAATAATCAAATGTTTAGTTCACCATTGTTCCCAAGGAGAACCATGTTTTGATTGCTCCTGTGGTCATGGTTGAAGATAGTGCTGCTGCTTCTGCTCAGCTGCTCTCAGCTAATCCTGAACTTGTTTTCCTCAGGTCAATAAGATAGCAATTCAGTACGCAAAGACAGCCAAGAAAATGGACATGAAGAGGTTGAAGAAAAACATGTGGGACCTCTTGACTGACAGACAGAAGAAAGAAACAGTGGCAGAGGTGAGTGCAGGAGGAGCCAGATACCTCAATAGGCCGAGGATAAGAGAATGCCCTGCAGATAACTGTGCTTAACTCCTGCAGAGACAGTCTTGGGCAGGTTTAGCAGCAACTCCTTTCTAGTTGTCTTGCTTCCATGGGATGGTTGATGAGGACAGACCGAGTGTAACTTGCGGTGGTTTTTCTCTGAACACGAGGCTGAGGAGCAAAATTTGTCTCAGCAGTGTTTGTCTTTTTGCTAAATAGATGGAAGAGGCAGAGAACGAGAAGGACACATCAATGGTAGCCGGCGAGAAGGTCTTCAGCAGCATCACAAAGGAACTGTTTCACAGGTAGAGGGGCCCGAAAAAGGGTTGGACTGAAGATGAGGTCAGACTTCAGCTGAGCTTGGGCAAACGCTGACCCTTCTGTGTCTATTACAACCTGCTAACTGAACCCTGTGGGGAAAAAAAAAATCTCTTGCTCTCTGGGTTTGCCTGGGGGAGCTACAGGTTGCATTCAGCTTGGGAAATTCTTTGCTGGTGGGAGGGGAAAGGCAGAGAAAACCAGATCCCTGGCAGGGAAACTAATCTTTGGTGACCCAATGACTGCAGGCATGCTCCATCTGTCAAGTTTCAGCAGGCTGTGGCCATCCTAACCTCCTCCCTTCTCTTTTCTAGGCTGCCTTCTGTGATGGCCAACAATCTGTCTGTCCCTTTAGCCTTCACCTGCCTCTTGCATTTGGCAAATGAGAAGGTAAGCATGGTGTGCACACTGGAGGTTCTATCACCAGACGTGTAAGAGCAGCAGGTGGAACGCACAGTGAAAAGCACCAGGAGTGGGGCTGTTTTCTTGCTACATCAGGACTTCTCAACTTCAGTCCCTGTTTCATGCTTGTAGGGAACATAAATCAGGCTGATGCCCTGGGAATCACAGAATGTCAGGGATCAGAAGGGACCTCAAAAGATCATCCAGTCTAATCCCCCTGCCAGAGCAGGAACCTCAATGAGATCACACAGGAAGGTGTCCAAGCAGGTCTTGAAGGTCTCCAGAGAAGGAGACTCCACACCCTCCCTGGGCAGCCTGTCCCAGGGCTCTGGCACCCTCACTGGAAAGAAGTTTCTTCTCAAGTTTAAGCAGAACCTCCTGTGTTCCAGCTCACACCCATTGCCCCTAAGACAGCCCCTGCTTAAGCACATGCAGCATTTCCAGCCTAACTGCTGTCTCTCTGTCCGTCCTTGTCCTGGGGTCTGGCAGCAGAGGGGTGAGCACTTCCTCTCAGTGTTGTTTTCAGTGTTGCGAGTGTTTCAGGCCCCGAAGCAACAGCCGATGGGGAGCCCTGGTCCTGTGTGTGCTGCTGGTGGCAGAGGGGGTTGTTCTGGACCTTCATCATGGGTTGGTTTTGGGTTTTTTATGTCAGGCCTTCAGACTCAGAGTCTGACAGTGTCCAGCTTGGCTTTTCTTTTATATTCCCAGAATCTGAAGCTGGAGGGGACAGAGGACCTGTCTGATGTCCTAGTGAAACAAGGCAACTGAACCCTGTGTGGAGGAGACCACCGGGGCTGACCCACAGCTTCCCAGCTGACTGGTGCTCGCTCTGGACTCAGTGGCAGCTTTTTCTCCTCCCAACACCATTGCTGAGAAAGCCCACCAGTCTCTGCACCTCGGGAAGACTTAAATCAAGGGTGGCCTACCTAAACAGAGGACTCGTACAGATGGATGGTTGCAGCTCAACCCACCTGGCTCCTGCCATCTTCGATCCATCAGCTTCTTTCCCGGGTTGGGGTTGTGGAGTTCCTCCATCTCACTGTGACCCACCAGTGCCTGCAAGGAAAAGGCTCCTCTGTTTCCCTCACCAGCTGGAATTCCCAGTATGTGGACTGACTGTTCCTCATGTCTCCAGTTCCTCCTGTAGTCCTCTTCAGCCCATGAAATTATTTACCTTTTATACTGAGCTTAAAGATAATGAATTGCTACAGACTTTGTAGATGGGCCTTTGAGATGGGGGAGAAGGAATCTCTGAAACAGGAGAGAGGTTAAAATATAACACATGAGTCTTGGGGAGCAGCAAGAGTGGAGCAGCTCCCTCAAGAAAGGTGACCCAGGAGTCACAGGGGGTTGCACAGCTGGAGCATCACCAGCCAAAACCAACCCTCCAGTATCTGAACAATGTGAGCAGGACCAACCTGGAGATGGTGGCCAGATTCAACCAAGAGTTGAGATCACCAGGCATGTTCATGGTGCTGAGGCAGGTCTAAGATCAAGCTGGGAAGACGGTCTGCAGGTCAGGGTTGGGTCTAAGGTGGTGAGGTTGGGAGACCAGCACTCCCAATGCAGCTCAGACAGGGACCTTGAGCTGAGCTTCATTGGAGGCCCCTGGTGACACTGGTCAAGGCCGTGAGGGCTTATTTTTGCCCTCAGGTTTCTGATGAGGTGAGTGGAGAACAGGTGGAGCCTGGACCGGGCTCCAGTGCTAGAATCACAGAATGTTGTGAGTTAGAGGGACCCACAAGGATCATGGAGTCCAACTCCTGTCCCTGCACAGGACAATCCCAACATTCACACCATGTCCCTCAGGGCCTTGGCCAAATGCTGCTGGAATCTTGTCAGGCTTGGTGCCATGAGCACCTCC